GGCCCTGAGGGGGCAATAACGGCCCTGAGGGGGCAATAACGGCCCTGAGGGGGCAATAACGGCCCTGAGGGGGTAATTACGGCCCTGAGGGGGTAATTACGGCCCTGAGGGGGTAATTATGGCCCTGAGGGGGCAATAAAGGCCCTGAGGGGGCAATAAAGGCCCTGAGGGGGTAATTATGGCCCTGAGGGGGTAATTATGGCCCTGAGGGGGTAATTACGGCCCTGAGGGGGCAATTATGGCCCTGAGGGGCAATTAAGATGTGAGGAGACAATGAAATGTGAGAAGATAATTAATTAATGAGGGGGTAATAGCGATCTCAGAAGGGGCAATAATGATCTGGGGGGTAATTTGTGAGGGGGCAGCTAAGATGTGAGGGGGTAATTAATTAATGAGGGGATAATAACAGCCTGGGAGGGGCAATTCAAGGGGGGGAAATTAAGATGTGAGGGGGTAATTAATTAAACTGGGGATAATAATGATTCTGGGAGGGGCAATAACGACCTGGGGGGGGGTAATTTGTGAGGGGGCAATTAATATATGAGGAATAACTAATTAATGAGGCGATTATAGCGGCCCTGGGAAGGCAAATAACAGAGCGAGGTACAACTAAATTAATTTGAGGAGGCAATAAATTAATAAAAAATTAATTCGGGGGGGACAATAAAGTTTGGGGGGAGGGCAATAAAACCTTGTGGGGGTAGGGGGATAATTTGGGGGGGACAATGAGGGGGACAGTTGTCACCGGGGGGGGTTGTCCTTGGCAAGGACAGGGTGACAATGGGGACACGGCAGGGCCAGGCCGTGCCAGCAGCGCCGGGTGACAGCGCCCGGTGGCCTTGGCACCGTTCCTGTCCCCAAGGGAGGGGACACCGAGGTCCCCTCTGCTCCCCGAGTGCTTTGGGGACACCTTGGGGACAAGCAGGACCCGCTGGGAGGTGGCACCTGCCTGTCACCTCCTTGGCACCGACTCCTCTTTTTCCCCGGTTTTCCCCGATTTTCCCCGTTTTCCCCCCATTTTTCCCTGTTTCCCTCCCTGTTTTTCCCTGTTTTTCTCCATTTTTTCCCCGTTCCTTCCCATTTTCCCGTTTTTTCCCATCTCCCCCTGTTTTCCCCCGTTTCCTCCCATTTTTCCTCATTTTTCCCTGTTTTTCTCCCATTTTTCCGTTTCTTCCGTTTCCACATTTCCTCCCTGTTTTTCCCGTTATTCCCCCATTTTTTCCCTGTTTTGCCCCATTTTTCCTAATTTCCCATTCCCCCCCATTATTTTCCCCATTTTTCCCCGTTTTTCCCCCATTTTTCCTTATTTTTCCCCC